GGGCAGCCCTCACCTTCGGCTGGCGTCCGCTCCCTCAGGGTTCGGTCTTCCTGGAAAAATCACCCTTAGATGCTAGTGCCGATCTGAGGGCCCCACGTTGGGCGCCATTTGTTGCGGCGGGATCTAGGACTCGACCAATATGATCCATAACAGTCAAATTTAGTAGCAGAGAATCTGAATTATATAGACAGCACTCAATTATGATTAGTCACTATACTTAAACACTCGGCACAATACTCAGCTATGACTGGTTACTATACATAAAAACATCTATCAATAAAACACCCCGGTTACATGATTAATACTCAGACTATGATTGGTCAGTATTCATAGAACGACTGTTTACCTGCAGCTGGCCTGAGAACGATTGTCTTTCCCACAGCCAGCCTGAGAAAGGTTTGCTTTCCCACAACCAGCCTGAGAAAAGCTTTGAGGCCTGTGCTGCTTGAAGCCTGCACTACTACAAACCGATTGAGTCCATATTCAGGGTGTCTGGGTTGCTCACAATATGTCCCTCTTTCTCCAGAAACCCTACAAACGGACAAAGGTGTGGGTGGAGGACCCAGATAAGGATGATCAGGGATAGGAAGGCCTATGGATTCTCTCAGGGCCCTGATCTTTCTCTCATGGGATCCCACCTGCCAGTGCCCTCAGTAGTGATTGTTCTCATTCCCTGATGTGCGGGGTCAGTGCTCTGCTACTCTTCTTCCCCATTTCCCTGGGGATCTGGTAGACCCCAATTTCCAGGGAAGTAGATCCGTGGCTGACACTAGTCTTCATAAACTCCCACCATACCTGTTGACCGTCCTGTAGAGAGCCTCTATATATCTAGGCTGCCCTGTCATCACACAGGACATCCCTCATTCCTCATCTTCCCTGTAGGTCTCTCCTTTAGACGTTGCATGGCTACCTACCATAAAAGCTGTGGGAGCTGTCCTTCTCCAGTTCACAGCTCTTATTCCACTGACGTCACAGCTCTGTGATGGCACATTGGGCTCCTTCAGTCTGTGCCCCAGGCTGTGGGCTTCGGTGCCCATTTGGGCTGCAGCATTTACAACCAGAACATTTGGTCCAGTGGAACCTCACGGTACGGTTAATTTAACCCCAAACAAAGGGAGAACACAAGGACAAAGGACTCTTGAAAAGACCAATTCCTCAGACATTTTCCTGGAAGCAGCTTTGTAGGAAGAGCCCTGCCTTATGCACTGCACCTGGGAGAACCCGTTTTATTGAAGAATTGCAATTGGAAATATCACACCTGAAACAATGTTGTGCAAAGGTCAGACACACAGGATCAAGCTTCAAGAGATGCAGAATAAGCTGAGAAAAAATTGTATAAATATCATTAACACAAAGTGTCTCATCCCGCCTATGGAGGGGGGGAAAGTGACTCAGGTTCTGTGAATCCCCTCAGGCTAAATTAAAATGAAACTACACCAAACGATCAATTTCAGCATTTTATTTAGAACAGAGGTAACTTGGAAAACATGGAAAGCATTGGCAACGTGCGTTCTTATCAAAAATGTTAGATGAGAGGGAGAGTAAAAGAAAGAGAGGAAAAGTAAGAGGGACAACAAAAAAGGTATCACAATCCTAGGATTCCACAATGACGACATCGGGCATGGCATCCTCTGGTGCCAGGCATGCCAGGCTCTTTGCACATGTGTCTTTTATCAGCCAGTCTCTCCACCCTTAGTCACACTTCTTTCGACTTCTATGGCAATCCTTTTACTAAGTTTGTGATCTTCTGTGCAGGCTCCAGTGGGGGGAAGATGTCACGATGGGTCTCTTAGGGGGTCTCAAGCCCCTTCCTCCAATGAACATTATATGACCTCTGGCCATATTTGGGTAAGGCACATCAGAAACATTGAAATGCTCATCTTGCTATCCTTCCACATCTTGTGTCACCTTGCTCCTTCTTTGCAATCTGCTGTTGCTGGGCATAACCCCGGCTGCAGGTGGGCACCGTCCTGCCTGCTCAGGACAGCCCTGGGGCTGAGGTAGCTATTTTATCACAATGCTTGAGGCATTAACAGACATTAACCCTTTCAGTATCTCACACAAGGGAAAACAGAAGAATCCTGGTCTTAGATACATGTGGAGAGAAGAAGAGGCAGGTTGTCATTGAAACTGCATCCACCGCGTCAGTTTCTTCAGGGCATCCTTGAGGTCCTGGTTTCTCATGCTGTAGATGATGGGGTTCATGGCTGGAGGCAGCACCGAGTACAGGATTGCCAGCACCATATCCAGGGTTGGGGAGGAGACTGAGGCGGGCTTCAGGTAAGAAAACATGGCAGTGCTGATGAAGAGAGAGACTACAGCCAGGTGAGGGAGGCACGTGGAAAATGCTTTGTGCCTTCCCTGCTCAGAGGGGATCCTCAGCACGGCCCTAAAGATCTGCACATAGGACAGCGCAATGAAAATAAAACACCCGAAGTCGACAAACACACTGACCACAACAATCACAGCTTCCCTGAGGTAGGTGTCTGAGCAGGAGAGCCTGAGGATCTGGGGAAGTTCACAGAAGAACTGGTCCACAACATTGCCCTGGCACAGTTGTAGTGAAAATGTATTGCCAGTGTGCAGGAGAGAGTTGAGAAAAGCACTGCCCCACGCAACTGCTGCCATGTGGACACAAGCTCTGCTGCCCAGGAGGGTCCCATAGTGCAGGGGTTTGCAGATGGCAACATAGCGGTCATAGGCCATGACGGTGAGGATAAAATACTCCCCTACCATCAAGAAGAGAAAGAAAAAGAGTTGTGTAGCACATCCCGAGTAAGAAATTTCCCTGGTGCCCCACAGGGAATTGGCAATGGATTTAGGAAGAGTAGTGGAGATGGAGCCCAGGTCAAGGAGAGCGAGATTGAAGAGGAAGAAGTACATGGGGGTGTGGAGGTGGTGGTCACAGGCTACAGCAGAGACGATGAGGCCGTTGCCCAGGAGGGCAGCCAGGTAGATGACCAGGAGGAGCCAGAAGTACAAAAGTTGAAGCTCCCGTGTATCTGCGAATGCCAGGAGGAGGAACTGGGTGATGGAGCTGCTGTTGGACATTTTCTCCCTTTGGGCATGGTGCACTACTCAAAAAGGAAAAGACAGTGACAATTCTGGTGAGAGTTCTCTGAGCAAAATCAAAGCCATTTCTCATAGACTGCTCCCTTGCTACACATACACACCCCTTTCCCCTTTCCTAGAAAACCTTCCCTCAGCTCCGCTGCTGGGCTTTTTGTTTTTCTGGCAGAGCGTGCCGTGGGGAGCAGGGACTCTGCTCGCAGGCTGCCGAGGAGTCAGCCCTGCTCTGCAGCAGTGGGTTCGTGGGAATGGTAAGGAAAGGGTCAGTGCTGGTGATTGACTTTGTCAAATGAAACCATTCCTAATGCAGAAGTGCTTGTCAGTACCTGCACTCCCAGTTCGATGAAACAGGGATGGCAGAAGGCACTTTAAGAAGTTTGGTGTTTTTTAGAGTTCCTGCCATCTCATCTCAGGAGTGTTGGCTGTCAGAAACCCTCAGTATTTCTGCTGCACGCAGGGAGAGCAGTGAGTCCTGCCAGGCAGGAGGACTGCTTGTGGCTTAGTGCAGAGTGAGGGGAGTTGGTCTGTCCCTCAGTCCCCACTGCTCTGGGCTTCCACCTTTCAGAGATGGAGGGCAGCAGCATCAGCATGTTATCCTGACAGACACTGCTGAGAGTGGCGGGATCCACTGGTCATTCCACAGCCCCAGAGACTTCACTGCCTACAGCCCCACAGGTCAGAGTAAAGCTGGCACACCTCATTCCCATGGAGACATCTGCACAGGAGGACCCAAAAGATCGGTGCCTGACTCTTCTGCTGAAACTCTCATTTCCAGAGAGCCTGACAGCTGATAGTGGCAAGGAGAGGACGAGAGGGATTCAGGAAAGGCTTTGCCTTACCCAGCTCTGCATACCACCTCCCAGATGGCAGCAATGCAGGACAGTTGCCCTGAGGCCCTCAGCAGGAAATGAGCATGTGACAGGAGAGGTGCATTTTGTTTCTTCTGCTGGTGTGCTGGGTGAGGAGGTGAGTAACGGCCCAGGCCCCTGGACAGAGAGCGGTGCTGGGTGGGAGAGAAGGCAAGAGCAGTGTTGCTCAGGGAAGGAGTCTGCCCTGCAGAGGATGGCCGGGAGGTTCCCATATCTCCCCAGCAACACCGATTCCCTTAGCAATTCCCTTCTCCCTGCAGCTGTCCCTGCCAGGAGCTGTTTCTCTGGTGCCAAGTCTCTTCCCTGCCAGTGCTTATAAACTGCATCGCAGTCCCCGTGTGCCCAGCTCAGCCCTGCAACCACTCTCTGTGTGCAGTAGCTAAAGAACAGGTCACACAAACACTGAGGAAACTGGAAACATGATGCTGGTTGTATCTGTAGGCTGGCAGGGGATGAAACACTTGCTGAGGTTCTTGATCAACCTCAGGGTGACTGTTTAAGGGTCTCATACCCTTCTCTAAGCTGCACAGCTGTGTCTACATCCAAACCAGGTAAGTCACAGAAAAGTGGAAGCACAGATTCAGCAAAGAACAGATGCAAGCAGGAAACCCCTGCCATGACTGCACTCATGAAAAGGTTCTTTGGAAATGCTCTGGGCATGATCTGGAGCGGTGAGCAGCCCTGAAACACAGCACCCTCTCAACAGCAGAAGGTACCTGCCCTGCAAGAGGTTACTCCTTCCAGCCACAGCTTCTCCCCACAGCGCCATAGGGATCTCCCCGGGCAGGCTGAGTGTTGCCCCTGGCAGGAGGCAGAGTCCCTGCCCCAGCACACAGCCACTGGGGTCCAGGGACCCTGCTCTGAAGCACAGCCCTGGGCATCCCTGGCTGAAGACGTCTTCTCATTCCTTGAGCCATCCCTGACAGAAGGCAGCTGTCATGCCCTGTGCCTTGGAGAGTGCAGCAGCGAATCTCTGCTCAGGAGCATCTCCTCCTCTAGACTGTGGGAACTGTGAGAGTCCTTCTGAAAGATCCTATGAGCTGTGGGATGTACGAGGTTGAAGAGTTCACTCCACGGATAACAGCTTCACTGCTCTGCATTGGAGGCTTACCGTGTCAAGGGCTGTGAAGAAATCCCTGCTACCAAGCTCTCAGCACCCTCCCACCCCAGACTGCCTTTAACCTCTCTCTGTCTTGCCCCACTCCTCTCAGTGCCTGTAAGCTGTGCCCTCAGACCTGCTGGGCTTTGCAGAGAAGCTGCTTCTGGGCAGAGCTGTCTCTCTGCAGTGCTGTCCTGTTGCCATGAGCTCCCTCCATCCCAGGAGCCCAGCCCAGCTCAGCAGTACAAGGCATTGCTTACTCTGTCCCCTCTGGGAACCCTCCAGTTGTCCCTGGGGCTCCAGGGGAACCTGCTGTGAAACAGGCTGAAGGAATCACTGATGTTCCCTCCCTCAGCTGGGGAGGCTTCCCAGCAGTGTCATTTGCCTGTCACCTCTCAAGCTGGAGAGGAACTTTTTACAAGGGCATGCAGCCGTAGGACAATGGATAATGGCTTTAAAATAGAAGAGGGTAGATTTAGATTTGATATAAGGAAGAAATTCTTGCTATGAGGGTGGTGAGGCACTGAAATATGTTTCCTAGAGCAGTTGTGGCTGCCTCCTCCCTGGAATTGTTCAAGGCCAGGTTGGATGGGGCTTTGAGCAACCTGGTCGAGTGGAAGATGTCCCTGCCCATGGCAGGGGGGTCGGAACTAGATGATCTTTCAAGTCCCTTCCAACCATAACCACTCTATGATTATATGAGTCTATGATTCTGCTATCAGACATACAGTTAGGTCTAAAATATCACCTTTTTGCCTTATTGTTAGACAGGACACCCAGACAATGATGGGCAGGGATCTTCTTTATTCCTGCT